TAAGAATTCATGATATATATTATTTTAATTTATTTTTTGAAAAAGAAAAAATAATCATGTTTTAAAATTTTATGCTAAAATTCAAATATAGAGAAAAATAAATTTTATTTATTAGTAAATAAAATTTTATATAAAAAATATTAATTGGATGAGAATTGTCATAAAAAATAATAAATTCAAAGAATGAAATTTAAATAATGAGAGTAATATAAACTGAAGTATATGTTAATTTTAACACACGGACACACACACTCACTACGGGAAAATGAAAAAAAAAATGAAAGTCGAGGATTGAAAAAAAAATGTTACAACATGAGGGATGAAAATAGGAAAAAGTGTTAAATTTGCATATTAATGCCAAAAAACATAGAAAAAACAAAACATAAAAATTACATAAATTTTCATAAAGTAAATAGTAATTTTATGCATATTAAGAGTAAGTGAATAAGAATTGTAAGCATATGAACAATTCGGATTTCCGTGCTATGCTTGGGAATCAAACAAAACATATTTATTTAGCTTGATAGCATATACTATGTTGTCGGTTAATTAAAATATATTAAATTAAATATAAAAGATAAAATTTTATCTAATTTTATTATTTTTAATCAAAATTTTATGCGTGCACACACACACACACACACACAGATATATCTATATATACATACATGTATGTATGTATATATGTATGTGCACACACACATATACATACATACATACATATATATACACACACATACATATATACATACATACATGTATGTATATATATATGTGTGTGTGTGTGTGTGTGTGTGTGTGTGTGTGTGTGTGTGTTATGTTTTGAATAAATTTTAAATTCAAAAAAATATGATTTTTCCTTATGCATTTATTCTTACATAAAAACCCATAATAAACAAATTTTAATATAAATTTTTAAAAAATATATCTTAATATGTTTTTCTTAACATTACATTGAAGAAATAAAACAATAGTTAATATAAAAACTTGTATGAAAATTAACAAATGAAGCTTTTTTATTAATGAAAAGATTATTTTTTTTAAATATGTAAATTTGATATATATATATATTTATTTACAAAATGATGAATAATATTAGAATAAAAAATTATATTTGAATTATCCAACAGTTATTCTAAAATATTATTTCAATTATTTTATTTAAAAAACATTTAATTTTAAAATATTAAAAAAATAATAGTAAATAGTTGGTATTGTGTTTGTAGAAGCATAGTTGATTTCTAATAAAAATCAACGACTCTAATATTATTATTTTTTTTATACAAGATGATCATACTTAATGAGTAAGAATGTATAGCACAAATTGAAAAATATTTTTTAAAAAATAAATTATAAAATATATATTGAAGTTAATAGAGTACAATAAAAAATATAAAATTGATTTCGATAAAATTTGATTATATAAAGAATAAGAAAATAAAATACATATATTCTATTTTTTCAATTTGATTATATAAGAATCAAGCAAATAAAAACAAGTATAAAAAAATTATTTGAATCCATGCATAAAAAAATAAATCATATTTATTAATGAATAAAATTATATAAAAAAAGTAAAAATTAACTTCATGTGAATTTTTATAATAAATCAAAAATATCAATTTTAAATAATAAGAGTATTATATATTTATTCTAAAATCTAAAAAAATATAGTATATATTATATAATCTTCGGTTGCGTGAAAAAAATAATGATTGATTTTTTAAAATTTTAACACTTAGTTAAATAAAAAAAGAACATAAATTGATGGGAAAAAAAAGAAAAAAAGTGTACTTCATCAATTAGGGGATTAAAATTTTTTATTTTAAAATTCTAGGGACCAATATGAAATAATTTAGACATTAAAAAAATGAGTGAATAGTATTTTGTGAGGGGATGATTAATGAAACTCATTGTTCAACTACAGCAATTAGAGGATTAAAATTTTTATTTTAAATTTTTAGGAACCAAAATGAAAGAATTTAGAAATTGAAAAAAAAAAGAAAAAGAAAGAGTGAATACTTGCTTTGTTAGGTGTTGAACGATGAAACCGACTATTCAAACATCCCACCTCTTTTAGTCATATAGTAATATTTATTTTAAGTCCATTGACTAGAATTGATGTTAATTTTTTTTTTACGAGTGAGAATTTTTAGTTTGGACAATCATAATATGTATATTGACTAGAATTGATATTTTGTTTTTGAAAAATTTATATCCATATTATTATTTTTAAATGTAATTTAGTTTTATTTGTAGTAAGTGAGGTTACAAAATTTGTCAACGTCATTTTCATGTGTGATGAGAGACGCAAAAGAACGTTTGCAAGTGTAATTAGGAAAAAAAAAAAAAAGGAACATTTTAAAATACTATATATTAAATGCCTTAATTTTAGATATCTTAATGCTATAAACTAATAAATTCATCGGCGAAGAACCTTCTATGAAACAATCAATGAAATAAAACTAAATTAAATTACATGTGCTCCTAGCTAGCTAGAACACTTATTTTTAGTATTATTGATCCTTAACCACCGAATAACGTAAGAGTTTAAGCCTTAAAAAAAAAGCTACATCTCATATTATTCAAAAATTCTAAAAATTCATGATATATATTATTTTAATTTATTTTTTGAAAAAGAAAAAACCATCATGTTTTAAAATTTTATCCTAAAATTCAAACACGAGAGAAAAATAAATTTTATTTAAAGTAAATAAAATTTTATATAAAAAATACTAATTGGATGAGAATTTTCATAAAAAATAATAAATTCAAAGAATGAAATTTAAATAATGAGAGTAATATAAATTGAAGTATATGTTAATTTTAACACACACACACACACACTACAGGAAAATGAAAAAAAAAAATGGAAGGCGAGGATTGAAAAAAAAATGTTACAACATGAGGGAAGAAAATAGGAAAAAGTGTTAAATTTGCATATTAATGCCAAAAAACACAGAAAAAGCAAAACATAAAAAACTTAAATTGCCATAAAGTAAATAGTAATTTTATGCATATTAAGAGTAAGTGAATAAGAATTGTAAGTATATGAACAATTCGGATTTCCGTGCTATCTTTGCGGATCAAACTAAACATATTTATTTAGTTTGATAGCATATACTTTTTGTCGGTTAATTAAAATATATTAAATTAAGTATAAAAGATAAAATTTCATCTCATTTTATTATTTTTAATCAAAATTTTATACATACATACATACATACGGATATATATATAAATACATACATACATACATATATATATATATATATATATATATATATATATATATATATATATATATATATATATATATATTGAATAAATTTTGAATTCAAAAAAATATGATTCGTTCTTTCTTATGCATTTATTCTTAAATAAAAACCCATAATAAAAAAATTTTAATATAAATTTTTAAAAAATATATCTTAATATGTTTTTCCTAACATTGCATTGAAGAAATAAAACAACAATTAATATATAAACTTGTATGAAAATTAACAAATGAAGCTTTTTATTAATGAAAAGGTTATTGTTTTTAAATATGTAAATTTGATTTATATATATTTATTTTTAAAATGATGAATAATATTAGATAAAAAAAATTGTATTAGAATTATCCAGCAGTTATTCTAAAATATTATTTCAATTATTTTATTTTAAAAAAAATTAATTTTAAAATATTAAAAAAATAATAGCAAATAGTTGGTATTGTGTGTGTAGAAGCATGGCTGATTTCTAATAAAAATCAATTACTCTATTATTATTATTATTTTATACAAGATGATCATACTCAATGTGTAAGAATGTATAGCACAAATTGACAAATAATTTTTTAAAAAATAAATTATAAAATATATATTGAAGTTAATAAAGTGCAATAAAAATATAAAATTGATTTCGATAAAATTTGATTATATAATGAATAAGAAAATAAAAACATATATTTTATTTTTTAAATTTGATTATATAAGAATCAAGCAAATAAAAACAAGTATAAAAAAACTTATTTGAATCCATACATAAAGAAAATAAATCATATTTATTAATAAATAAAATTATATAAAAATAAAAGTAAAAATTAACTTGATATGAATTTTTATAATAAATCAAAAATATCAATTTTAAATAATAAGATTATTATATATTTATTCTAAAATCTAAAAAAATATAGTATATATTATATAATCGTTAGTTGCGTGAAAAAAATAATGGTTGATTTTTCAAAATTTTAACACCTAGTTAAATAAAAAGAGAACATAAATTGATGAAAAAAATAAAGAAAAAAAATCAATTAGGGGATTAACAATTTTTATTTTAAAATTCTAGGGACCAATATGAAATAATTTAGACATTAAAAAAATGAGTGAATAGTGTTTTGTGAGGGGATGAATAATGAAACTCGTTGTTCAATTGCATCAATTAGGAGATTAAAATTTTTATTTTAAAATTTTTGGAACCAAAATGAAATAATTTAGAAATTTGTTTTTTTAAAAAAGAGTGAATACTACTTTGTTAGGTTGTGAACAGTGAAACTCACTATTCAAGCATCTCACCTCTTTTAGTTATATAGTAATATTTATTTGAAGTCCATTGACTAGAATTGATGTTAATTTTTTTTTCTGAGTTAGTATTTTTAGTTTGGACAATCATAATATGTATATTGACTAGAACTGATATATATATATATATATATATATATATCCATATTATTATTTTTAAATGTAATTTGGTTTTATTTGTAGTAACTGCGGCTACAAAATTTGTCAACGAGAGACGCAAAAGAACGTTTGCAAGTGTAATTAGGGGAAAAAAAAAAAAAAGAAGACATTTCAAAATACTATATATTAAATGCCTTAATTTTAGATATCTTAATGCTATGAACTAATAAATTCAACAACGAAGAACCTTTTATGAAACAATCAATGAAATAAAAATAAATTAAATTACATGTGCTCCTAGCTAGCTAGAACACCTATTTTTAGTATTATTGATCCTTAACCCCCAGAAGAGCGTAAGAGCTTAAGCCTTAAAAGATCCTTCACCCCCAGAGGAGCGTAAGAGCTTAAGCCTTAAAAAAAAGACGCATCTCATATCTAACCATGCAACTCCCACAAATAACCATACCACTTTCTTTTCCAGCAGCACGACTTCGAAGTTCACCAATAGCACCATCAAGACACTTCTTGCAATCAACCCTAGAGAGATCCCTTGTGCATTGAACCATTCCATAAAGTTTCTCCGATCCCTCAAGCGCCAATTCTCCGGCAGCATACATTTTTTTTGTGTTATAAGAAGCCTTGTTTGCTAGTTGGCTCAACAATTCCTCATTTTTCAGATTAAATGTGACTGGATTGCTCACATTTTGCATGGTCCATGTGTAGTGCTTGGTTCCATTATCAATCTAGCCGAAGAAGTCCTTGTTTGAATACTTCAACAGACAGTTATCGTAAGCTAAGATTGCAGCTTTGCTATCTGGACAGAGCTTGTGGATCTCCCTAGTTGCATTAGCAACAAAGGTTCTGCAATCTGAGTATGAGACATCTCCTCTACAAAGAACGAGCCCATATGGTCGATCTTGGTTGTTCTGACCTAGAGAACCTAGAGCAAAACCTTCATTGGCTGAAGCAAGATGGTAGAAAGACCCCATGAGAACGTTCAAGCTTGTTTTATAAGAGCCATAATTAGCAGTGGAATTCTCGTTGCTTGAACAACTATTGAAGAGAGGGTCAATTCCAAGAACATTTTGGAGAAGTAGAGTCAGAGTTAGAAAGTAGAGAGAGGAGGTGAATTGTCTGGAGGAAGACATTGTTTGAACTACTTAATTTACGTACGAGCTAGATTAGAGATGATTGTTGTTGGGTTTGATGAAATGGGGAGGATATGATAGCATGTATTTATAACGTTAATCTCCAAGTTCTTTACGGATTTAGGGAAGGCTGACCTCGTCTGATTTTGATTTGCTAACTGCTTAAGCTGAGAAGAACTATTCAACATAGAATTAAACAAACAATTTGACCGAGAAAAGTAGAAATCTAGACTTTTATCCCCTCTTATTGGTGAATTGGCCTTGTAAAATGGTTCTAGATATTCCATCACTCAAGAGGCATCTAAGAAACAGTAAATTTCTTTTAGAGTTTGCAATTACATAAAATTAAACAAGCAATTTGACCGATACAAGTGAAAATTAAGACTTTTATAACTTTTATTGTAGAATTGACCTTGTAAAATGTATCTGGATATTTCATTAAATAGGAGACCAATATAAAACTATTTCTAAAGTCTCACACAGTAATTTAAGTTTTTGAACTGAAATGATTTTTAGAATGTTATTAAAATCTTGATGACTAAACAATCAAGAATTTGAATATCACTACCTCACTTTCTCTTTTAATTAAATTTACATAATAAAACATAAAGTAGCAGTGGGTATACATAATTTTTAGCGTCAAAGGATTTTCATCACTTATGGAAGTGTATTAAAGAATTATGAACTTTTATTTAAGAGGATATATTACAAAACAATATAAAACCATTTTGATAAATGACGTCTAAAAATTTATGTGAGAATTAATGACCAACTATTGAAAGGAATGCAACATCTTTCTGCATTTGGCCAACACTTTGTTTTTGTTATATAGTTCACTACAAGAAAACAACGAATTAGCAATGGTCTAATTCTTAAAAAACTATCTCTAAATAAAATTAGTGATGATTTAGTGACGATTTCAAAACCATTAGAAAAATACTTGTCGCTAATTTTTAGCAACGAGTTTTTAAGTCCATCACTAATTTAGCTACAAAAAAAAACCATCGCTAGTTTAATAAAAAAAAATCGCAAATTCTTTAGAAAAACCTTAGCTAATCTTGAAAAATTTAGTGACGGTTTTTATTAAACCGTCGCAACTTAGTGATGGTTTTTCAAATTGGTTGCTGACATTTTGTGTTTAGCGATGGTTTTAACTCGTCACTAAAACCATTACTAACTTTTTTTTTTTAATTTTTTTCCCCAAATTTGTATTGTTTTAAATTAACCTACTCTAGTTTAAAAACTAAAAATATATAATATAAATTTGTTATAATTTATTAAATTAAAATTATATTAAAATATTTAATTACGAATAAATTTTAAAGTTTGTTATTATTGCATGAAAAAGAAAACATGAAAGTTAGGAACAATCGTAGGGTCTTCGATCGGAGGCTCGGTGGATGAACTACCTTGCTATATATTCAATAATATCTACTGCATTTGCCTCATCATCGTATACTTGCTCCCATATGTACTCTTTCAACTCATTTGTAGTATCTAAAAGGATTGTAACAAAACCTATAGATGTTAGATCCGTTCTATATGCCTAGAAGTACGATCCTTCAATTTCTTTTGTTGTGCCTCATTACTAATATGAAACCGCGAAGTGGTCGAACTAGAGGTTGTACTCACATTAGAGTAATAGTTAGAGGCTTGTGACCCGAGTCTATATATCCTCTTCCTCTTATTATATCCTCCTCCAATAGCTTTTTTTAAAACCTCATTCATATCAATGTCGACCAATGAAGTATCCTTTGTTTGTTTGCTAGTAACCTCCTCCTCAATTATTCTTTCGACGAGTCTCCTACATAAGTGCACAAAATATAATATTAAATCGCTATGTCAATAATATATGTCGCTACCCGATGTCGGACGGGACTCCTCAAAAATATCTAAAATTAGATTGAATATTTACAAGTTTATTTACATAGTTTGGAGTCGCCACCTAGTATTGAAGGAACTAGGAACCTAAAACGAACACCGATTCGGAGATTCTATGGTAAGGAGTTGGTTACGCTTTTGGAAAGATATCGATCACCCAAAAGCGCCCTTTTCGAAAAAAAGGTACCACGTCCGGTTTAGCTCTAAATTTATCTCCTATAATATTTTATTTGCGTCAAATTATTTTCCGATTCTTAATCTCTCATTTTTTTTAGACAAATTGAATTTTTTAGTTTTGAGCGTAGCATCGTATTGAAACGATCGTCGATCCCTTCGTCGGGCGACACATCGATTCAAACATCGGATCCACTTTAAGCCTTAACACAACGGGTGTGTCGGAGGATATCTTGATTTAAACAATGATTTTTTTGATGACGTCGGCCCCTATCAAATAGGAGGCTTCGTCGAAAATTTTAAATTTGGTGACGTCGGTCCCTATTAGATAGGAGACTTCGTCGAATTTTTTTATTATTTTTTGTTATGACCTCGGTCCCTACCATGTAGGAGACTTCGCCAAAATTTTTAGGCATTTTTTTTATATGACGTTAGTCCCTATAGATAGGAGACTTTGTTAATATATATTTTTTTAGCTATACATATTAAAGAAAAGAATATAAAAAAAATTAAAATAACAAATCTAAATTAATACCTAAAAGCGACAAGAGATAAAAATAAACGAGGCTAAAAATAAATAAATAAAATATCCTATATAAACAAGTTAAAAAATAAATGAATAATAAAAGTAAATAAAAAAAATCATCCTATGCCTAAAATATTAATCCACAACTTTTACTTTTTTTTTTTTTTTTTTTTTAGGGAAGAAAAGGTGCGGGTCAGGTGAAATCAGCCTGACCCTCCTTTCCTTTTTCGGCTGCCTCGGGTTGAGTCAGGTGAAAGGAAGTCCGATCCTTGTTTTTTTTTTTTTTTTTTTTAACGTGATGGGCTGGACTAATTTCGGTCCAGCTCCTTCCCCTTTTATTTCTCCTTGGACCGGGTCCAAAATCAAAAAACAAACCCGGTCCGAAAACAAAGCCCACTTTCCTCTTTTCTTTTTTTCGGATCAAAACCCACGTTTCTCGAATTAAAACCCTTCTCTCTCTTGCTCATCGAGTTCTTTGACTCTCTCTCTCTATTCATCAACATTTTGCAAAAATTAAAATTTCTTTTTTAGATTCAAATAAAACATTTGACTAGCACATCATTTTCAACATATTCGCCTCCACTAGAATTAATAATCCGAATGTTAACAACAACGATCAAATTATTGAAAGTGAGAGGAATTGAAGGCTGGAGAGAAAGAAGAAAACAAAATAGAAAGAAAAAAAAAAGAATGAACACACTAACCGAGTGGAGGATTGTTATGTACTTGGACAAGAGCTAGGAATTTGAGGTGGTTTCGGAGGACCCAATGAGTTTTCAAATGCTCAAACGAGCTCACAATTGATGACTGGGATTTACGAGTGGGATGAACACCAAAAAAGCAAAACCCGGAATCAAGAACATTCAAGTGTTGCCCGGAAAAATTGGTAAACAAAAACTAAAAAAAACGTTAATTGAAGCTTCCAACCCGGAAATTAAAGTTAAAGAACTTGTGTAATTGCACCCAAACGAGAGGCAAATCGAGCAACGAGCCCAAAAAAGGGTGAACTCGAAATCTGGAATGAAGAACAATGAAGAACACGAAGAACACTCAAACCCGGGAACCCGGAAAAACCCGGAAAGCCCAATTGCTAAAAGATCCAAAATTTGGGTTTTTGCTTTCGATTTTTATCCTCTCTCCACCCGAATTCCTTTTCAATCCTCCTCCGCCCTTTTTCTTGAAATCAAACTCATTTTTATAGCCAAAAGCTTGCTTGATTTTCTCCTAGAATCAAACACAAAATCCCCCAAAATTTTCTATCAAAAATCTCAAATTTGATTTGATTTGCTAATCAACAAGGAAAAGAATTAGTGATTGCTTGATTCTCCGTCCAAAATTAATTCAATGATAAATGTAGAATCAAAACAAGAAATTTGTGGATGATTTGGCAGATTTCTTCAAAGATTTTCGGAGGGAAATTAGAGTTGGAGCGGACGACAAGTCGTCCTTCTCACTCCAATCTCGTCGTCTACTCCAAAAGTTCAACTTGGTTCCTATGCTTTTCAATTTTCCACGATCACACCCTTTTAATTTCAATACAATCTTATCAATTGGGTCCCTGTAAAAGCAATTTAGGTTCTAAATCTTTCAATTGGTTCAATTACACCCTAATTACTTCAATTTTGTCCCTTAATGGAAATTTTTGTGTTTTTCATCATTTACCTTTCCTCTTCTTGTCTCTTTTCTTTTTTTTTTTTTAATAAACTTCAAATTAAAAAAAAATAATAAGTAAAAATAAATAAAAATAAAAATAAAATAAATAAAATAAAAAATAAGAAAATTTTGGGTTATTACGGTTGCCCCCTCTTTACTAATGCTTATGGCACAAAGTCGAGTGAAAAGGTTGCTTTTCACCGACTTTGTTTAATAAGCTTGTAAAGAAAAGGTTTCTTTTTTAAACCAGAGGCAAAGCTATGATGGAATGATTGTAAAAATTAAAATGCGAGTGCATGACCTTATTGTCAAAGGCGACCTACCCTAAATTAAACGTGCGAAGCATGACTTTATTGTAAATGGCGACCTACCCCGAAAATTAAACATGAAGATGCGTGGCCTTATTGTAAATGGTAGCCTACCTTAAAAATTAAACATGCGATGCGTGGCCTTATTGTAAAGGGCGGCCTACCCCGCAAATCGGATATGCAATGGTCTATTGTGAGGCGACCTCACCCGAAAGAATGATCTATTGTTAGGCGATCCCGCTCGAAAGAATGGTCTATTATGAGGTGACCCTACCCGAGTGGATGATCTATTATTAGGCGATCCCGCTCGAAAGAATGGTCTATTGAGAGGTGACCCTACTTGAGTGGATGATCTATTATTAGGCGATCCCGCTCGAAAGAATGGTCTATTGAGAGGTGACCCTACCCGAGTGGATGATCTATTATTAGGCGATCCTGCTCGAAAGAATGGTCTATTG